GTTATATTTGGGTGTGTAATGCTCCCATGTCTCATGATTTTGAACAGATTCTACATTCTTTAAGCAGTCACTACTTCTATATTTACTTTCTGTGTCAGTTGGGTTTGTCCACAGGCCGACTCTTGTCATGGTGTCTGAAAGCACATGGATGCTCTGTCCCTCCGCAGGGAGGTTGGGAGCTTGCTATCTCAGAGTTCCAAGTGACTTCTGTGGGGTCTGCTGTGTTGGTCTCTCGCCTTCCTCCCTCCTTCTACCTCAGCAGCAGGACCTGTCCCCTTGCCTGCAGGCCCCAGTGAATGCTCTCTTCTTGTTGTCTGCACAGGCGGGTGATGAGTTTGTGGCGAAGACCCTGAGCTGCCTCTCTACCAGCACTGACGCAGCATCCGTGGTGCATAGCACAGACTTGGTGGTGGAGGCCATCGTGGAGAATCTCAAGGTGAAGAATGAGCTTTTCCAGCGGCTGGACAAGTTTGCTGCAGAGTATGTGACTGAACTTGCTGCTTGGGTTCTGAAAGCCCCTTGTGTGGCTCTTGAGCCTCCCACTCTGACAGCACACCCACGTCCCTGCCTTCCAACACCTTCCAAGAACTGCTGGGTTCCCTCTTCCCATCCTTGTCTACAGGAGGGGTATAGTTGCCAGTGGTTAAATGGAATTATCTGTCCAGTGTCATGCCTGAGTGTTTCCTGCCGCCACTAGGGGGCACAGACCTTTGTGTGCTTGAGAATAGATGATATAGAGGCAAATCCCTTAATGCCTGCAGGAGTCTGGAGTGCGCCAGACAGAACGGTTTAGTTGAAGGCAAAGTGCCTTTGTGCAGTCTTCAGCATGCCTCTGTTTCCAGTTTTATCTGGTTTAGTTACAACCCTCTTGGGGGCATTAGGTGAACACTGAATCTTCATGTGACCGGCCACGTTCGGGTCATGGGGGAATTTCCAGGCTTGTGGTGGCCTCTGGTATCAGTAAGATTGTGCATAGGTGACGGCGCTCTAGGGTCACAATCTAGGGCCTCCAGTTATGTTTGACTCTTAGCTCTTGGCAATGACAGCCGACCAATTAATTGGTGGTGTTTGGCCTATGACCTACTTGGCCACACTTCTCCCTCCTTTGTCAGTCCTGAACGATAGAGTGAGGCTATATGCAAAAGTAACTCTTAGGGAAACATTGGTCACCTGTGGCTAAAGAGAAACACTTGTGTATCGGCTTGCTGGGCTGTAAAATTCCATCTGTATGACTTGGTGGCTGCGGGCTCCTGGTTCTGTCTTTTTCTGTGCAGCACTCTGCTGGTCATGTGCATTTAGCTCTTCAGAAACATGTGGCAAAGAGGACACTTTGAGCCCGGCAAGGCAATCAAACCCCGCTGGTCTACAAACAGCTGCCCTTCTCTGTTCTCCGTAGGCAGTTTGGCCGTCATGCAAGGTTGCTCCTTGGCGGTGAAAGGCCCAGCTGCCCCCTAGTGTCAGTGGAGGGAAATGAGAGGATGGGAACAGGTCGCCACTTCCTTCCTCCTCGGACCTTGGGATGTCCTACGGTTTACAACCTGTGATTTAAGGGTCTTGAGGTAGCAAATCTCAGAGACCTTCCCAGTGCTAGCTTGGGTTTTAAATAGCCTGCCAGGGAGGTTGAGAAAGGTAGGTCTGCTAATGCCTTGGAAGCCGATGCTCCTGACCTGAGACCTTGGCAATCTTCATTCCTCACTGGCCTGCCCACTGCAGCCATCCGCCCACACTCACCAAAGACAGTCTTCTCAAGTCCAAGATGACGCCTCTACCTCACAGTCCTCTGGCCTCAGCCAGCCACGTACTAGGACCACCCCCAGGCCGATGTCTCCTTTCACCTTTCCCTTCTCTCTTTTCCAAAGTACTGATTTCTTTTCTTCCCATCTGCTCCCTTCTTGCCTGCCTCTGAATTTGGACAGACTGTATCCTTGCCTTTAGGTAATCAGGAACCCCGAGAGAATCTGGACCACTGTCCTTGGGTACTAAGACCAGATCCAACTGGGCTAAAGGGCATCCTGCTGCTCTGTTAGTTATCCACAAGGTGGCGCTGCAGGAAAGCCTAGCCGTCTAGCTAGGCTTTGCCCCTGGTGCCCTTGGCAACCCCTCTTTATTCTGGTTTTTAACAAGTTAAATTTTGAGAAGGAAGAAGAATTGGATTTAGTCACAAGGCAGTATGGAGTTTGTAAGTTAAGACTCCATACATATGAAATAACTAGTGCTTTTTCAGGCTGGCCTGTAAGCACAGTACTGTGAACATGGGTCATGTGTGAACGCAATCCCACCCCCCTTTCCCACGTTCTCTGTGTGATTAAACTTCCCTTTGAGCATGTTCAAAGCAGTGTTTTCAGTTGTCTAATGACGAAGTTAAGGGTTTTCACTAGAGGGGGACTGTCCTGTCCTGTGTGCTCAGCCGATTTTCTCTGAGGATTGTTTGTTTACAGTTATTATGGTCTGGTCTAAGTGTCTGGTCCATCCTTCCATTTTTCATGAGTCTGATCCCTTCATTGTGTTAGGTTGGGTAGGTCTCCCCACTAACTGCTTCCCCTTCTCCCAAATTAATACATGTGGGACAAGAGAACTTTAGTTTCTACAAATTCCGAAAAGCCTGATGACTATGGGCCTGGTAACTTAATTTAAATGCAGGGATTTTGTTGTTGTTATTGTTATTTTGTTTTTTGAGACAGGGTTTCTCTGCATAGCCCTAGCTGTCCTGGAACTCCACCTGCCTCTGCCCCCTGCGTGCTGGATCACAGGCATGCATGCGCCTCCACCATCCAGCTTTTAAAATGCAGGGATCTAATAAAAATGTGACCCCCTACTTTCACTGTGAAGACATGCCTTTTGATTGGCCCCTCAGTGGGGTGGCCCAGCAGCTCTGCAGTGTTTAGCTGGTTGGTGCCCTGGGTGATGTAGCCAGGGATTTGACCTCGGGCACATGTGGGATTCACTCTGATTCACTCTGGTTCTCCACCGTTTTTCTCTCCACAGACATACAGTCTTTGCCAGCAACACCTCTTCTCTGCAGATCACAAGCATAGCCAATTCCACCACCCGACAAGACCGATTTGCCGGCCTCCACTTTTTCAACCCAGTCCCCATGATGAAGCTTGTGGAGGTCAGTAGGCGCCTGGACCTCTGTGCTTTTGCTCTCTAGCTTTTGCAGTCCTACCTTCTGGGTCACAGCAGCCCTCCCGCCAGGCATTAGGTTGTATGAAAGTTAACCGGAACCGGAAGGTCACCCCTTTGGATTTCTGTTGTCCTAATTTGTCCTCTTCAGGACCAAAGAAAGAAAAAAAAAA